ACATCTTTCATGGTAAGCGTGTTTCTTCATCATTGATTGACTAATGAAACATCTCTATTGCTTTGTTACCATCCATGTGCAAAAGGTTGGTGTTCAACCTAACCACTCGTTCGAATCTTATTATGTCTGAAAATTTGAAAATATATGAATGATCAACAGAGAATCAACCAACCATCATTGCTATCAATTCATGCGATGTACAGATCTGAAACCAATATAGTACACAAATAAAGCAAATTAATTCTTTTGTGTGGTGGACAGGACAGATACATATACATATACATAACTAAATTTCTTATACAATAATGCAAAAAACTTTACTACTTCTATCCAAATGCCAAGATCGATGCAGAAGAAAGGGAAAATATACGAAAAGAGACCAATTAAATCAAGATTGATTTTCAAAGGAAATTTGGGAAAAACCACTATGAAGAAATTAGCAGCAACTACACTGAAAGGTTGAGGATTATTGTAGTGTAATTAATAACTGTGCACAAAGATTTATTTATTTTTATCTTTTATAAAACATATAAACTAACGAATTCGTAACATAATATACAATAAATAACTTATCATAAATTCAAAAACAAGGCTGGATACAAACCAGCTATATACAATAATAACTGCAAATAAAAGTTGAAAATCGGCACATTACTATAGACTAATCAATGCTGATTTTGTCAAATTTTTTCTTCAAATCATAAGTTCAAAGCATTCAAACAATTTAAACTAACCTATTATTTTTGCTGCCAATAGATACTTAATAATAAAAAAATATCAGATCAATCAGAAAGTCAATTGAACTTTAAAATTGTGATTTTTTTAAAAATCAGACCACCTGAACAAAAAACTGACAAAACACAAAAATATACTCTAAAAAATTCAATCACTCTCAACTGGGTACACACGTCCAGCTGAGAAAACTTTCCTATTCCAGTTTAACTACAGAGAGTGTGGCCTTCAACAAAGCCAAAACAAAACTCCAAACATAAACAAAAGCACAAAATCATATCTAAACATATAAACATCAAGTACATACACGCAACGAGAACCAGATACCCTTCTCAATGTGTTATTCGACATAATTCTCATCAAAACAGTAATAGCTAACATCAGAAACTTCACGAAGGAAGGAAATGGCTTGGTCTTGCCAATAAATATAAATCAACAACAACAAGAAGATTGAACCATAATAAAACATAATCATAGGCAAACAAATAATTCAAAATTGCACACGCTACGAATCAGAATGCATTAACAAATCAGCTGTAGCAGCTGGGTGACACGACATTTAACTCCATAACGAGAGCCAGATGACACGACAGTTTCGGAAATAATTTCGAAAATCGAATAGGAATCAACAGAGTACAGGAAAATAGGATTCTAAATTTTAGAATCAAAATGAGTAAATGACAGTAATTCATGGGGAAGTGAATAAGAGTAATCTACTTAAATAAAAATCACTACAGAACATGCTCATTCCAAAAAAAAAAATTGACGAAACAAATGTACCAGAAAGGAAGAGTCCTCAGTAACACGGGAGCAATGGCTTCGCAGCTTCAACGATCGAAGGATGTTCCTCCATAAAAGCGGTCCAGAGATAGCAGAAGCTGCAAACGACCAAAATCTTTCAAAACCCATACTGAAATCATACAAAATAGCTGGACGTTTGTAAATAAGTACAAGATCTGGGAAGCAAATGGTCTACTTACACGGAACCATGATCTAGGATCGAAAACCCTAATGGAGGCAAAACTGAAGGAAAAAACCACCTCTACACGGCACAGGTTCGGCTACCATGTTCTTCTTGCTGTAAATCTATAAATAAGTACATGATCTGCGAAGCTGCTGGTAGAGATACAAGGAACCGCAATTTAGGATTCAAAACGTCAGAGATGGAACTAAACGAAGAGAACATAAAACCTAAATATAGCGTCAAAACTCTCACAGCACGAGTTCTTCTAGCAAACAGGATCTGGGAAGCTGCTGGTGGAGATAAATCTAGGATTCAAAACGTCAGAGGCTGAAATGAACAAAGAAACCTAAATACGAGAAAAAAGCATCAAAACTCTCTCACTTCTCGTGAGAAACACAGCACGAGCTCTTCTAGCAGCTTCTTCTACTGGGACATGCCAAAAAGACGCCGCTGATGCCCAAACGACGCCGTGCCTTTAAAACGCTTCCCATCCCAAAACGACGCTGTTTCATCCCCACGAAATCGTGAACAGTTTTCCCAAAAGTGCCTCTTTTAATAGGTAGGGATATATACACACACACACGAAATTGATCTCTTAAGCACCGATACTTATGCTAAATATGAGATGACGTGACACGTTACAATATGTGATGTAATTAGTTTTTGTATCAATTATTATCTCTCACGTTGAACTCCGATTTCTTATTCACCTGAATATTACATTTTGGCAATTAAACATAAGATATTGATGAATGATCTCACAGAGGAGAACACGAATTCACTTTGATCTTCCAAAACGAAGGAACGAATGACACTGAAAAATTATTCCAAGACAACACATAGTCCCATACACAAGCCATTTTTCCATCAGCCACATCTCCCAAGATCGATCGAGTTAAATACAAATGTGGTAGCTAGCGTAGTCCAAGACCTGCTGGTTGTGAAGGAATTATTAGCACTAGTCGAGGGTTTGTTAAGGAGTGCTATTATCATGACCTGCATATCACTGCCCCCTCAAGCGATGATGTCTTCTGTTCATCTCTTTTCAACTACACTAGAAAGATGACATACTCCATGAAAGTCTACATCACTCTAATACAACTTGTTGAGATTTAGGTCACATCCCCGAAAGGTTAACTTAATAAGTGGAGTAACTCAATTTCCTTATAAATTCAATAGAATTTGCGTATCTGAGGAATATTGTAGAACCCCTTTATGAACGCGTCTTCAGCGCGGAAATCTCTAAAATATCTTATTTTTCTATACTCAATCTTCCGCTTTTTGACGTATGGTCGAGAGTATTCCTAGGCCATAATGAAAAGAAAACAGTCAAATGTTAATGAATAGAACCAAGAGAGCGACAATGGATGAATGAATATCAGTAGTGGATTATTTTACATCAACGTCTCCGTATGGTTGACAAGAGAGAGCCCTACAGTCTATTTTATCATTGCTGGCTAGGGACCAGCTCTTTGGTAAACTACAAATGCTTGCACAAATCAGAAAATAGGCACGAGGAAAATAATCTTAGCAGTCACTATCTCATAATAACAATGTCATCAAAATTCGAGTTGAGCAATTAGACTGCTGGAAATTTTAGGTAAACAGCACTTTTCTAAAGTAAACTATCTTATTTAAATCAAAATCACGAATTTATAAGACGATCGGTTTCAAGTCGGTCTTCGTAACCCATATAATAAGATTAGTACCTTCAAATTTATTGTTCATGATACCCTCCTTTTCCCCTCTATTGTAGTTAGGAAGAATGCCAAATAACCTTCCTATAGATAAGGTCAAGGCACAATAACATATTTTTATTTATATCATTGTTTATTACTTTATTTGCATTAGTTTAGTTTAAGATTTTCAGTAATTTGTTTGGTTCAAAATTATATTCCCAATGCCTAAGTGGGTATCATCAAGCAACCGGAGTTGGGATTGTTTGGTTCGGTTATCGGATTGGCTTTGTTGAAGTGATTGATTGTTGGATTCAATACTGAGTCCGGAAAACACCATTGGTGGTCGAGACTTCCGCTACAATATTATAATAAAAAAATTATTTCCCAATGCCTAATCTATTAGTGACAAACATTTCAGCTGCAAACGTTTTTACTGGTCCACGTTCAATTTTGTTTTCCATCAATAATTTTGAATAAACACTTGCCTAGACTTTAAAATCTTATGAAATTCCAAGTATTCAAAATATCAATGATATTTTTTTTTAATGTAAATTCTCTTCCTACTAACTTTTAAGCACAATTAATAAATAAAAATTCTCATAGTTTCTCTCTCATCCACCTCAATCCTTCGGGAGACTTCCGAATAAAAAATGTCATTCAATCTGTGAATTGTTTTCCTTTCTCCAATGTTTTCCTCTCCTTGTATAAATTATATTGTTATGATTATAGCAACTTTTTTATATATGAAAAAAAAAAAAAAAAAAGATAAAATGTCATTCTCTCTCCAATTTTCCTAAACCATTTTTTTTTTTCTCTCCTCTCATCTTTTTCCATCCTTTCCACCTTTTTTTCATAAGAAAGAAAATAAATTTGTTGCTAAACTCGAAGTTCAGATTTTTTTAAAAAATCTGTGGAAGTCTTTAAAAATGAAGTTTATAGACGTTTATGAAAGTCTCCACAATTATGTAAAATTTACTAAAAGAAGTTCATAAAAGTATTTCAACACTTAAAATTAATACACCTCCTTCGAGTTTGAAGTGATCATTGATCTTACGAAGATTTGGTGTCCCACAACACTAGCCTATGGTCAAGGGAAATTGCATTTGTAGAATTTTGACACAGACCAAAGTAGATGATTGGTCATTTCATACCAATATTAATGAGAGCAAATTCTCTTTACAGCGACGACGAAAATGAGAGCAGCGTAAACCTTGAAAATGGGTCCGAAAAAATGTGGCACGTTCACACTTAGAGGAGTAATGCACTCAACTAGTTCTCTTTCTTTACCGTATCCCCGTAATTTATGTAAAACCATTACCATGAAAAATATTTTCGCACGTGTAGATTAGAAATGACCCTACTGAGCTGTTCCATGTTCTCTGCTAGCCCTTTCAATCCGCCCACTTTATTATTGGATTTCCCTTTATATTTTAGCACGCAAAGACCCTAATTTTGACAACGGAAGCTGCCGCAATGGATGATGGACTGTGGACATACATATATATACCTCATATGAAACTGATATATTGAACTGCAACTGCTAATTATAGGAAGTTATTTCTTGGAATATTATTGGGACATCATCAATAAAATTACATAACAGTTTCCTTCTTGTCAATCAAGAAATGGTTAAGCCAACGCCAACTTCATCGCGGCTATCTTTGGTGGTGGAGCCTCTGCAGCCAATGGTTGAGAATAGGAATGAAGAACTGAAGTACAAGGGAGTAAGGAAGAGGAAGTGGGGGAAATATGTGTCGGAAATAAGGCTTCCCAACAGCCGGGAACGGATATGGCTAGGTTCGTATGACACGGCCAAGAAGGCGGCCAGAGCGTTCGATGCAGCCCAATTCTGCCTCCGGGGACACAACGCTGTGTTCAACTTCCCTCATGATCCGCCTAACATTAGTGGTGGTCGATCTCTCAGTCCAGCTGAAATACAAGTTGTCGCAGCTCAGTATGCTAACAGTAACAGCAATAATCAGCAGGCACCGACAGGTATTGGAAAGTTTAGGTTTTTTTTATTAAGTATTTTAGGTCAAACGTGTTTCAAAAATTGAAATTTTTATAAAGAAACATTTTACAAACTCAAAAAAGTTTCTTGATATATATATATATATATACCCCAAATATTTTGCAACTTGGATTAGGATTTGACATTTGTTGTCGTCAACTAAGAATTAACACATTTTCTTCGACTAAAAATATAACATAGTTGTCGTCTTGAACCCTTGTATTATAAACAATTAACAAAGTTTGAATTAATGCAAATAATTATATTAAAATTAAAAATAAATTAGAATTATCCCTTGTTTGGTTCCCATTAAATTAAAAAAAAAAAATTCTCTTCTTGTAAACCACACATTTTTCAATAAAATAATATTACACATAAATCTAAAGACTTTACCTTTTTTTTCAACTACAAATTCTTCAAAATATTACTATTCTCCTCACTAAAATGTGAAATAATGGAGCCCAAACATGGGCTATGTTGCTTTTCACATTTTTTTGTCTTTGTTTCCCTGCAATTTTATAGACTTGACATGCTGCACAATTTTCATAAATGAATAGAAATAATATTTGAACCAAAAACTTATATTTTCTCTCCATGTCGATTTCCGGAGAGTAATTTATTATTCTATCTTCAACAGAAACTCAATCTGAAACAATAATGGAATCAGAGGGCACATCTTCGTGGAATTCAGACGGAGCTATGGCTCCAATGGAGGCAATGGATTGGTCATTCCTGGACAACCTGGATTCAAATGCGGCTGAAAATATTTCAGAATTTAGCTTATTTTCAGACAATTTTCAAGATAATATATACTTGCAACCAAATTTTGTCCGTGAAGACAATGACGATGACCATGACACAAATGCGGAGGGACTTTTTTCCCATAACTCCTTCCTTTGGAACTTCTAACCACAGTAATATGTAATTAGAGATTTGTCAACAGTACATTTTAGGACTTGTGACAAGTTTAAGATGGTCAATTTATCAGGGATTCATAGCACCTTAACGAGTATATATATAAAATTGCATTGGTATGTAATACTTGAATGCATGAATTTTATATGCTGTAATACTGGATATACGAATATGAATTGAAGTAGTTGGAAAATGAGATATATTTTACTTTTATTTCTGTTTTTGGAAATTAGAATTTTTATTCGATGAATTAAATAAAAAATTATTTTAGAATTTTTGTAAGGAAAAGCATATATGTGAGATAAGCACTTAAAAAATGAGATAAATGTTTTTAGTCATTTTTATAAGCATGTATAGGCCCTGTTTGAGCCACCTTATTGTATAATGTGAATGAAAAATATAACCGTTATTGAGGTCACACAAGAGATAGAAAATTTGAATTTAAATGTTGATGTAACGATCATATTTTTCATTTTAATGAGAAAATAAGGTGGCTCAAACGGGGGCATACTGTTGAAATTTTAGTCCCCATGAAAAACAAAAACAAAGATCTTTTTTAATTATACCAAATCACTACTCTTGATATCATTTTATCACAATCAAAAACAAACATCATACCTCAATGATTAGAGTAATAACTATTATAGCCTTAACAGAATAGGACATCAACCTCTTATTCTATAGTTGTTGACAATTAGGCCCTGTTTGGGAGGGATTTAGATTTTTCTACAGTAAATCAATTCTCATTTTCAACCATAAATTTTACAATAAAATAATATTTTTCATCACATCAATACTTTTTTCTTCTTTTTCAACCACACATTTCCCATCATATCACTATTCAAAATCAATTCTTCCCCCAAAAATCTCTCTCAAACAAGCTCTTAATTTCTCGATCAATATATAAAAAGGTGTCTTATGCACTAACCACCATATTTTTTTATTTCATGCATCAAGCTAAGTCACTTTATACAATTACACATGCTCAAAATATAATGCAACTTTATTTCATATCAATATATAAAACGCTATTATTTATTCAATAACATTTGAAATGTTTATCTTATTACAGTGAAGTCATAATGCTTTTATGCACATATTTCAACATATATATCAACATGTATACATGTTTAAAACGCGTTTGAATAATTCTTATTGCTTAATAAATGGATTAAATATTTTGAGTAAGTGTTATTTGTTGAATTTTTTCATCTATAAGATTAAAACTTAGAAATTAAAGAAACATTTTTTTTTTTTATGGTTTAACAAGTAATCTGACCGAATTAATGTTTTCATCGACGTGCCTTGGGAATTTTTTGCCATGGTTAAATTGTTTCTACACGTTTATAAATATTTTTTATCAAATAACTTTTTACTCACACGTTTCATAAGATACCCATGAGTATTATTTACTTCTCTATATTCTATTTGCACGAAGAAATGAAGTTTTATTGAACAATATGATAGTACCACGTACTCATCAAATCCTAGAACCCTAACTCCCCGATACTTGTATTGTTGAAAATTAAAGAATACCTATAGTCTCATCAATAGATAACTCTCTTTAACTAGCTATTGCTGAAATTGGTATTAAAAAAACAAGCTGGGATCATAAATAGAAAAGCTTTTAGTATGTATTGGATAGAAAATTTAAATCAAAGCAACAATTAAAATGTTCCATTACGTATATTCAGATGCAAATCGATATATATATTTTTTTTTGCACAATTATGTTAACTTCATTAAGCAAATTGAGATCTTTGTATATGAATTAGAGAATAGTCTCTTTTTGTTGTTTATCTATTTTGTTACCGTAGAAATATTAGAGCACAGAGCAGATGAACGCAAAGACCAAAGGTTACGAGTTTGAACCTCCTGTCAACATTTCCTCAGTCGACTACGTCTCACCGGCCTTGCTTAGTGTGGTTTACCTCTCCTTTATGGTTTGCGGGCTACTGCACATGGAGAGAGTTTTACCTAGTGCGCACTCACAGTGATCGGACATTTGCCTCTTTGGAGTGGTCAAGGCTTCCCAGCGGGTAGCGGTTGTGAGTTCCTACGTTAACAAAAAAAAAAATGTCTGAAACGTAAATTGAATATGATTAGGAAATTTGTTAAATATGTTGTTCATTTCAAAGACCATTTGTGATAGGTAATTATTAGCTGACTTTAACTATTAACTCGCTTAATTACACATTCTTTTTTAAATTAGGAAAATCACAGAGCGTAAATCCAATCGGATCGTCCTACAACATAAACCATGAAGGAAATGACCGGCCCACAAGGAACACAATTTCGACCTCCAACAACTTTGACTTGTGTAGGACGGTCATGCTGGACCTACAGGGCCACCCATGAGCTTGACTGCCCGCCTATTCCATTGGCTGTGCGTCTCAACCGTACTGCGAGGGCGATGGCAAGACGGAACATGAGTGTAATGCTCATACCTGGCCCTATATTTTCACAGACACAATTATACGTGGTCCTTTCATCGTAATTACTATTTCATAATACATTTTATCCCGAAAAATGGGAATCAAACAAATTAAATCATGTTTAATTATAGAATTAAGCTGATGTGCCAGAAGAGGTTTGTCCACTTGGGTGACCTAAACTCACATGGCATGAGACCGACATGGGGACCCACGTGAAATAAAAAATGAAAAAAAATGCTCAACCTCTCCCCAACGTGTGTGTCATGTCACCCTCCCTGGCACACAAGTTCGGTCCTTAATTATATGTGATTTGAAGTATCAAATATGCCGTGGAGGTATAGCACTCAAATGCATTGAAATAAAGAGTTGAATAAAATTGTCACGTGAGAGAAGATGACTCTCGAATTCATGTAATGATTCAAATGTCAAGAAAGAAAGTAGAAATATACTTTAGTTTAGTGGGGGGACACGTCACCTATAGCAGCAATTCGTACAGTAACATTTTAATAAGGCTCGTGCATATTTTTGCCATCGATTTATCTTTTCTAGAAAGTAGATAAAAATATCAGGGGATGTTTTGTATAGACGTTTGTGAAATGTACGTGTTAAATTTTTCTTGGGGACATATTTCTTTTTGAAATTGCCATTAACACGTGTCAACAAAAAGTTGCCACATCGTCAACTGCTCACATTCTGAAAGATAAGTCAAGAATGAGATGCTTTTTATATAGTAAAAAAATCGTTAGTCACCTAAACGAGACGCTGACAGACCCAGAGTGGGGTCCCGCGAGTGACCCCCAACTTTAGATATATATTTTTTTATTTTAATAAAATCACGTTTGATATCTAAATTATAGGGTGTGTTTGGTACCCATTAAAATTTTCATTATCATTCTTCTATTCATTTTCAACCACACATTCTTCATTAAAATAATATTTTTCATCACATCAATAACTTTTCCTTCTTTTTCAACCACGCATTCTCCATTAATCTACTATTCCAAAATACATTCTTCCAAAATAATATCCATCAAATACACCCATAATTTAAATCAAAGTTAACAATTAATTTTAATAACATATTTCATGAAATCTAGTAACTTTTCAATTTTTATCAAAATTTACTAAAAATCTAATTTTAATTCACACTATACAGTGACAAAATCATAATAAATTTATTTATTTTTCCTTCTCTTTTCCTCTCTCTTACTCTCTCCCTCATCCATTTTACCTAAACCTCAAGCCTTTTAATTTTTTTAAAAAATTGCCTATAATTTCTCTACAAATTATCATATTTATTATGAATCTTCACTTTCCAATCAAATTTTCGACTAATTAGAACCTAAATTTGTATTTTCTTCTATCAATTTGTGTATGTAGAATGTGTCTCATCTGATTATATCTAATTTGACTTATATTTAACGAATTGTGTTTATTTGATTGATTATTAGTATTAAATATTAGTTATATATTTTTTATTTCGATTACTTAAATTGATTGTTTATATCAAATACACTATAAATTTTTTAAATGTAAATATGCATTTTTTATGATGAGCAAAATATCAATAAAATGACTGTTCGAAATCAAATGGATGAAAATGATGAATAAAATATTAATGAATAAATTTTTTAAAATGTAAATCTCTATTTTTTTGGATCAAGTATGAATCATTCAAAAATAAAGAACAAAGTATTCGATTTGTTTAGGGTTTGATTGTGCCTCCCTAACTTAAAATGTGCGTGTTAGTCCCTGATGATACACTACGTGGCATTTAAATTATTCAATTTATAGTACATATGAATTCCTAAACCTATAAAAAAAATCCCCAAATTTCATTCCATCTTTTTTAGACGAATCAAAGATCGAAATTTGGTGAGTACATTAATACCAACTTGGACTTAAATTTGAAGAAACTCCTCAAAAAATTTATTAGTATTCAAAAACAACCAAGAAACAACAATGATACAATGAGAGTTTAAATAGAAAAACGGAAGACTAAAACCCAATCTAATAAAAAACTTAATTGTCCCTAGAAAATTAAAGTAGATAAAAATAAATTAAATTAAAAATGAGAAAATTAGTTAATTTGGATTGCAATATGATTATGCTCGTGTACATTAATCGGTAAGCTAAAAAACATAAAACGTGGTTAGGCGTGAAGGCAAAACTTCAAATTTTACTTGCTTAAACGAGTCTAAGCGAATGTTAGGCGTAAAAAAAAAATTTCTTATTTTTAATATTATTTTAAATTTTTAATCATTTTAAAAATTATTTAATCATTAAAATAATACATATCAAACATCTAATATTATAAAAAAGTATATTTACTTAATAATTCATAACATTAGTCAATTACGTAATTTTCAAGTTTTCGAAATGTAAAAATTAGAATATTTTTCATAATTTATTTTTTAACTAGACAAATCATACTTAATAGATTTATATAAACTTCATGAATGTTTTTGGAGTTTGTAACAAAATAACGAGTCTCAATATCATAATTACATAATTTAGATAATATCATAGCTTAAATTTTATTTAACTATTTAGATAATA